CCGGGCCAGGGAGGGTAAGCCGCGCGGCGGCAACCACTTCTTGCGACGTCGGCTGTCCCTCTGGTGATCCGCCGGGCGTCGCGTTGTCTTGGGGCGCTCGCCCCGCCGAGCCCGATGTGCGACCTGCTCGACTCGCAGCAGCCGGCGGAGAAACTTAGCAAGATGAAAAAGTTACGGCGAACTTTGTCGGAGAGTTTCGGCCGACTAGGTAAAGGGGCCAAAGGAGGGAAGGGACGGGTGGGTGGGTCGCTGCTCCGAGCATTCCTACGCACCGAGCCTCGTTCCCACTCTCGCCTCGCGGCTCACTGGGTGACTGTGCGGGCTGGATTGCCTCGCTTACTGCTTCTCGAAATTTGTTTGCTGCCACGGAAGCTCAGACCTGTGCTGGCGAGAGTGATGGGAGTTGTAGTCCAACACCTCCGAAGGCCGCCGGCTTGGCTGAAGTTCTTTTCATCATAGCAGTCCATTGGCTCGCCTTCCCTGCTTTCTGGCCGTCTTTCTGTGCATTGCAATGCCATTCTGAAAAATGGATTTTTTTAAAAATGTACCCAGTTCAAACCGTTTTATCCAGAAGTAGTCTTGCTCACTTAAATTGAAGCGATTAGCAGCTGTATGTGCGGAGAATCACAACATTAGCGTATAAATGTGTTCATTTCACTCTGACTTCACTTTGAGTATATCTTACCCTTAAAAAAAAACTTTTTAGCTGTTACTGGGTGTTAATCATATTTAACATAATATAAACCGTCTCTAATCTGCTTTTGACTACTTAAATTGCAGATGTAGTTTAACATGGAACATCTCCAAATAGGGTAACTGAATGGTAGCATACTCTCCCCTTAAAAAAAATAATTTAAATTAGATTGATTTTAATTTATTAATAATTGAGAATACTAAACAGGAGTAGAAAGTACTTTGAATTAATTGAACCTATTTTTTAAAAAAAATGGATTCAGATTTCTTAAAACTACTTTTGAAAAAAGGGTGTTCTGTTTCCCATGGATGAATGCTCAATATATTTTTCTTAAGCAGGCACATAAAAAGGTGTATGAACCCTATGACTGACTGCAGCTTTCTAATGTATATTTGGTGGCAAAACTGGCTTTGCTGTCACATGCTCTAGATGACCCAATATATATAATATGTTTCATTATTTTGTAATGCAAGATGAAGTCAGGTCACTTCATTCCCTACAAAGAGTATGGAAAAACGTTAAATACACCAAAAATAATTGATTGAAGAATGTTATAATAAAATTGTTATACATGTTAAATATTGGGGGGTGTCAGTTGTAAACTGTATTTAGAAAAAAATGTTATATTGTTTTAATAGAATCAGAGTAATTCTCTTCTGGAATATGAGTTATGAATGTGTCAGAGAAAGGAGGTTCCAATTGCTTGCATACTTGAAATGGCTCAGTGTTACTTCTAGCCCGGATATGGTTTCCAGAATTAGTCCTCCTCCCAGTTGTGAGATGGAGCAAGTTACAGATGTAAACTAATTGTGTTTCAAAACAGAAGATGCTAAAAGGTGCAATGTGTGAACTTCATTTGAAAATGGGATTCAATTCCTGCTTCATCATCAATAATAATTGTTTCTGTAACAAAAGGGATCTCTCTCCTTGCCATGTGGTTACCATGTTCAGTAATAATAGTAAGAAAGTGGAAAACGGAGAGTAAAGGCTTCCAGATGGTTTAGTATAAGACAAAACTTGAAGTCAGACTAATTTCTGACTACAGAAATCTTTACTAACCCTTTAATTTGTGATTGATATTGTTCAGTGCTGCTGATTTGGTATCTCACAAATGTCTTGCAGGTTGTTCACAGTGTAAGAAAAAGCTCTCTTGGTGTATTGTACCTTTCATTCTTCAGATAGCCAAATTAGCCACCAGGAGTTGCTCAGAAACTCTCTTATCTCTGTTTGCCACAGTGTTCCTGTCATCTTGCTTTGTAAATATAGATGTCCTGAAATGCCTTTTGGAGGACACAGTATGATGATGTATCATCAATACAAAGGTATATAAGGTGCCATATTTATGTAAGAGGCTATACAGCTTTTCCTAAACTATTCATAGAATTCTCTGTATCTGAGAATCTGAATAAGATTTCAAAATGTACATAGGAATGTAGTGTAAGCCGTCTACTTGAAGCAAATTTCACTAGGGTGGAAATTCATTTAATGTTTATTATATTTATACCCTGCTTTTCCTTGAGCAGCTCAAGACAGGTAGCATTTTTCCATTTTCTTTTTTTACAGGTTGGCAAATACCAAACCTACCTTTTAAGTATATGTTAATAATAGAAGCTATTTTCTGGTCAGAATAAAGGTTGTGGACTATAGATAGTTCATAGAAAGGGATATGGAAACTTGGAAAAATTCTAGTTGCTTCTATTGAGCTAGCTTAGTTTCTATGCAGCTCTTTCTGATTAAGGTAAAATATATGCAAAGTTATCTGATCTGTAAGGGTTCCTTGAAATAAATAACTTCTGTTTAAATATGCAGTTGTGATGGTATGAAGATCTGGGGAATCGCTATGAACCTAAACATTTCAGAGCAGCTCTTCCCAGATTGCTGCCTCTATATCTCTCAAAGTTCCAGTCAACATGACCTTTGGGATCTATGGGCCAACTTTTTGGGGGCAATTGAGGAAGCCTGTTTCAGATCAACTACTGAAAAGGAAATGAGTGAATGCCCTTATACAGTGATCACCAATCATATTACTCATAATTATTCTTAATTTAATTTTTGGGCTGCTTGAGGAAGTACAAAACATTTTTGCTTGAATTAAAATGGTTGAAGAATACCAGAAGCTTCTTTCTTATACACCTTTTTACAAAATTTCTTGTGACTCAGGATGCCTCTAGAATAAGTATAAAGACTCCTTTTTTTCCCTTGGGGCTTCTTCTACTGGAGAAGACAGAGACGTAGAGCAGAATCTTTAGAGTGTAGATATTAGGTGGTTCCAAATGTAAAATAAGGGCATGATGTCTGGTTTCAATAATACCAAGCTTAGGGATAATTTCTGTATAGTGTTGTATCTGGGTTAAATCTCTGATACTATGTACCTGACAATACAGTAATGGTGTTCTTGCTAAAGGCCTGAAAATCAGCAAATCATTCTGATAAATAAAAAAGTGTCAATCAATCATGACCTGCTACTTCCATTTATGGTGTTTAATTATTTTAATGCATGAGCAAAGTGTTTTGCTACAAGCAGTTTGTTGCAGACATTGAAAATTGCTGTAGGAATGCATTTCATTCATTAATTATAAGAACCTGAGCTGGCTTGGCCAAAACTTGTGGATCTGTATTTTATTTCACACACTGGCTGGCTGGCTGGCTGGCTGGCCAGCCATCCCTAAGGAGCCCACTAGTGGTGGCTTTCTCAAGCTGTTGCCACCCAGCAGTTGGTGTTTGTTGGCATTCTGCCTCAAACCCTGGGTGGTCTGTTTGACTCTCATACTTAATAGCCATTGGTAGACATCTCCCTGAATTTGCTAATTTGCTATTAAAGCCAGTGGGTATTACAATATCATATTGCAGTTATTTTTATAAATGAATTATGCATAATGTGAAGTACTGTCTTCTGTCCAGTCACTTTCACTGAGTGTCTAATATTAGAAGGAAAAATCTATTGGGCATAATTCTATTTTTTTAATAGAAATTAAAAATCTTAAAGTAACTGTACTTTTCAAATCTAACAAGCCCCCTGTGCATCAGGTATTAAAGTCCCAAGCATATAAAGAATTCTGTGAAGTTCTTCTGTTTTGTCTGTTATAAGCCTGTTGGTATACAACTTTATTGAATACCACTTGAATTCCAGCATTAATAGAAACTTACCTGCTTTTCTTGAAACAGCATCATTAAATCATTAAACTTTAAATATCTGTCACATGTGGTTCTGTGTCTTTTTTTCTAAGTGAGATCTGTCTTCTTGATTTTTGTGAGTGTCCGAAAAGAGTTTTGTACTTATTCTAATCTGTTTCTGGTTGGGGTGACAAATATGCATATATTTGCATATTTGAGCATTCTGACTCTGATATGCAATTTAATGGGTGGTGAGTTACTATGGAATTTTATAACTTAAAATTATAGTTTTGTCAACTCTAATGATATTAATCAGTATTTTTGGATTAGGCAATGTCCTGGAAGTAGTTAATAATGGTTTATAAAGGGGAATATATTTTTGGCACAAAGCCAGATTCCAAGTACAAGTTAAGTTTTAATATCCTAGTACAGGTGTCTAGATTCCCCTGTGATAGTAGGACAAAATTAGTCTGATGTATTATTAGGACTAAAAAATCTAAAAATCAGAAAGGATCTTGATTTCTCATGGAAAAACATGTAAAAACTGTATGAAAGCATGTATCATAGAGAAGGGCTCAGGTTTGTACATGGAGGATGTATTTGATATTCTGAGCGCTTGAGTTAAATAGTTAAATTAGGCCTTTGAAGGTTGCAGTACTGTAGTCTTCTTGGTAATATCCTATGCAGCACTGATTCTTTCAGAAAACAGGTTGGATTAATTTCTGACTGATTTCAGTGCTGCTGTGTTGGCTTATTCACTATATAAACTGATGCAGACCCCACTAAAGAACACTCAACCTTCAAGTATTTGGCAGTCTGAATATAGTCCCTGAATAGAATGTATAGAGAGAGTTAAACCAATCTGGATTTGATCACTGTGCTATGCCATATGTTGTTGTATTGTGACTTTATATAACCTTTATATTAACATTATTTAGCATACTCCTGAAGTGTTGATTTATTCTTTAAAACCTAGTGATTTATGAAATGTCACTTAACCAACATATAACTAGCGTTGTGATTGTCCCTTCTATATCTATTCTGTAAAGTGAAACATTACTACAACTAATTGTCCTAGCTGCTCTTCTAATTGTGGCAAGAGTAGAGGCCATGCTATAGCTTGGGAGTGCTGCAGGAGAAAGTCCTGTCTCCAGCTGAGGATTCCTCTTCATTCTTCAAATGAAACTGATTCTGAGCATATGCCAGGAGTAAGCGGTGTGATGCTTGTGGCTCCTGGTGCTTTTACAGACAGACCTCTTGCTGTACACCAGGCTTCTTGCCCCACCATTTTTTTAAATAAATGAAATAAATGAATAAATGGAAAATGGAAAACTGGTTTGCTACAAAGCAGACTACCATTCTCGAGCATCTTTTTTCAAAATAGTAATTCTCAGCTCCACATGGAGTCAAAGGTTTGTTACAGAATCAGAAAGGTGGTGGCTGCAGCCCAGTGCTTTGTTTGAACAAGTGACCCTTTACTCAGGTAAAGACAAGGATAAGCTGTAGTGCTAAAGAGGAGAATGGTTTCCCCTCTGTTAATGCCTTCTGTGGTGGCCACCTGGCAGGATAATTCAGAACGTATTCTCAAAACTGCACTTACTCTCACTGACAGGATCTTTTCGCTGGATTAAACAAGACACTGTTTTTCCTCCCCTTGAAACTTGATTATTATGGCGGCGTATTGTCCTTTCCAGTATATCTAAGAGCAAGAAGCTCTGTGTGGTGCTTGGGAGACACACAGGAAAACAAAAATCTGTCAGATTCCAAGTGCACAAGTAACTCTCCTGGCTTGAGAGAAGCTGCAGAGAACAATTGTTGTTTGTAGCATGTATTGTTGTTCTCCAGCAATGCCTCAGTTCTGATTAGCTGTACCAGATCTGGGGCCTGGGCAATATTTATTTGCTCAATACCCCTCCTTTTATTCAGGAGTTCAAGCAGCATATATAACACCCCCTCCTCCTGTTTTTTCCTCACAACAACCATCCTGTGTGGTATGCTTAAAAATAGCCTAAATTATTACTTATATACACTGTAAATATTTCTTTTTTCATATATTAAGCTAATAAAAATAAACATGAAAAGAGACTAATACCATTTCAAGTGCAATTCTGCATCACGCTATATCTAAGTGAAGCGATTTTATTTAAGTTAAGTTCAATAGCTACAGAGAGATATTTGTTTTTTAGCATTTTCTACTAATACTGTAAACTATTTAGATAACAAGTTATTTCTTTTTTTCTAGCCTTGAAGAAAGATGATAATGGCTTTGATGAGGTAAGTTACATTTTTCTATTTCAAATTTTATTTAAACATACATTGGGCAAAATATTGCAATTTTTGTAAAAAAGTAGATGAATTAAAAGAATAATAATGAATAAAAATAATTATATAAATAATAACAAACATGAAAAAATTACATGAAACAAATCCCATGTAATTTGATGTACTTACATTTGTAATCTTTAAGAGAAATACTCATTTTTAAACATCCATATTGAACACTTCAGGTTCAAAAAGGTATACGTATAGATGGAGTAATCTATTAGAAGTTACTGTGCTGGTTTAACATATAAAGGGAGACCAAATATAAATAAAACACATTTAATTAAAAACTATTTGTCGCTATGTTAATTTTTTAGCCATTGCTTTTTTCACACTTTTAAAAATAATTGATCTGAAGAAAAATGTACTTTTTCTTCAGTACACTGAAGTACACTGCTATAGTAAATTTGATAGTTAAGGAAACTGAATAATTTTTTATGTTGCCCTATTTTATATTTTCTGGGGAATATGGACAATAAAGCTACATTAGAATTCATTATTGAACACTGTTGGGTAGTTTTACAAATTTCTTCAAAAACTCCCAGCCAAAGTGAGTAACTAAATGGCTATTACCAAGAGAGGTGGTAATAAGAACTACACCCCTTCTAGCATCATCAAAAAATTAATTAATATAATGCAATTTTAAGGAGATGTAGTATGATTTGTTAATTTTATAGTTGGTGATTTCTAAAATAGATTTAAATAATATTTTATACCATTGAATATTCTGTATTGACTCATCAAGCTCAAATCCCAAGTCATTTTCCTGTACCTTCAAACATTTTCAGGAGAGTCTGTTCTATTTAATATAGGAATTTCCTAAAATATTGATAAGATTATTTCTGTTTTAAGTGATTTGGAAATCCACTATACTTCATACATTGTTTATATTCTTGATAGATAAGATCTTATGAGCTTAAGAAGAAATTATTGAATATGGTCTCATAAAACCATGTTAGAACTTGTGATCAATTTTTCTGTAGAATATGTTCAACAGAATATATATTTGTCACTGAACTGAATACTGGATTCCAAATGAATTAGATAGATGTTGCCTTAGGCAGCAAATTTGGTTCTGTCTGCTTTAAGACTACTTTTTGATTTTCTATTCTCTGAAAATTGAAAACTGAGAAGTAGAAGTGTACGGGTACGGTTAATGTGAATTGGAACTTAAAGGAAATGGAATATTGCACTTCGGAAGTCAGGTTGCCCAGAATGATAAATTTGAGTCTCTCCTTATACTGAATTTGTGAAAGTACAGAAATTACGTCAAAGAATAAGCACTATAATTGTTTCATTAAAAGCCTGAGTCATAAATTCTGCAACCAGACCTGTATCAGGCTGTTCTTTTAATTGTATTATAAATCTGGCATGCTTCTAATGCTTTGTTTCTCCTCTCTGGAAGTGACTAGACTGTTTATAAAATTGACAGGAAGTTAAGAGTTCCTTAGAATTCTATGATATAGGAAGAAAATATTAAACTCTACTTAAAGTGCTTGTCCCAAATTAAATCTCAAGTAACACAGTGGTTTTTTTGCTCCTTGTGTGGATTAATGGATGTCCCCCGAAAATATATACTATTATCAATTGTATAAACGGAGTTTTCTTGCAGTGTAAGAATCTGGTAACTTTCTAACTGGCTATTGAAATGAGCTATAGCTACAAAAAGAAAAAGATTTAGATGATAGTTTGCCCATGTTCTGTGCATCTGTAATAAAGCATAGATGTACTGACAGGGTCTAATCATATGGCAAATTATACATATATAGCCATCCTACTATTCCTTTTTGGGATAGGCAACATTGTACACCCCACAGAAAAAAGACTTAGTAAGCAAAAGAATCAGGTAAGAGAGAGGAACATACACTGAGTCATACATAGTCTTTTGTCATCTAAACTTCTTAGGTCTCTCTTCTTGAGGGTTTTATCAGCTTCAATCAAGCACAGCTTTATTAGTCTTCCTCCCTACTGTTCATTCTTCCAAAATCAATTAAAATTACACTATACTATACTCTTAATAAATAGAAAATAAATCCAAGAATAGATATAAAATTGGCAGTCACACATGGAGCATCATCAAGGCACCAGCCACCCCCAGGATTGGGTAAGATTGTTATCACTCCACACAAGCTGGCAGAGCCAGGTCTTTTTAATCCTTTCCAAAAGGCTGGGTGGGTAGGGGCCTGCCGCACCTCTGGGGGGAGAATATTCCAAAGGGTGGGGGCAATGGCAGAGAAGACTCTCCTCCTGGGCCCTGCCAGCCGACATTTGCTTGCTGACAGGGTCCACAACATGCCCTCTCTGCCTGACCAGGTGGGACAGATTGATGTGGAGGGGGTGAGATGGTCCCTCAGGTAACCTGGACCCATGCCATGTAAGGCTTTAAAGGTAATAACCAACACTTTGAATTGGACCCGGAAACAGACTGGGACCCAATGCAGCTTGCGCAGTAAAGGTGTTACATGTGTTGTTCTTGGGGCACCCAAGATTGTCTGCGCGGCTGCATTTTGAACCAGCTATAGCTTTTGGATACTCTTCAAAGGTAGCCCCATGTAGAGCACATTGCAATAGTCTAGCTGAGAGATGACCAGGGCGTGAGTGACTGACCGGAGAGCCTCTTTATCCAAGAAGGGGTGTAACTGGTGTACCACACAAAGGTGGGCAAAGGCCCTCCTGGCCAAGACTGCCACCTGTTCCTCTCTATGTGACCAGAATGTTTTTATGTGCTATTCACTTTGGAATAGAATTCACATGAATATATATAAATGAAAAATTCAGTATTTCACTTAATAATCTGAAATTGTCTTCTTGCCCACTTTGCAAAGTGTGGGGAAAATGGTGGCTAAAAGAACAGTAGTTTGTGCAAATATATTAGGAAGTTCATTGAACATACCTTTCATTTATTAATGTTAATTGGTCAGTGTTATCCTGCCCTTTTTTTAAATGGAATGGGTTTAGGGCATTTGTTGCATTTAATATGTGCAGTCCTGTGAAAGCAATGAGCAACTGGGGAGTGGGTCATGGTGCAGATGACTTCTAGCTTGCTGTCGATTTTATGCATCTGCTAAAACTTTCAAGTATAGTTCTGAACTCTGATAGATTACTGTATTTTGCTAACATGCAAAAGTGGATTGGACAATGTGTAGAATTTAATTATGTCTCTACCTTCTGAAAACCCTTCTTTTTTGGTAACGATTTATACCAACATGGGATCTTAATACTAGAGTAGATGCCTTGAGTGAGCATGCATTGTAAAATAAGGGAGGGCATAATATATCTCTGGGGGGTCTTTAGTTCTTCTTTCCTTGTCTCATTGTTGGCAAAGCAGGCAGGACAAATTTATTTTTTACAAGCAAAGGCACAGAGATTCATGAATCGTCTTGGAATGTTAGGAATCATTAAATGGGTGTATATAAACCATTCCTCTTTCCTGAGCTTTATTTACAGCTCGAGTTTATTTTGCTTTGTTTTTTAAAGTTAATGCTAGGGGAACTTATTGCCAAGGGCTGGCTGGGCACTGCGATGGAGAAAATAGTTGATCTCTAACCCCTTCAGTGAAAAGCAAGATAGGAGCAATCAACTTCTTTTGCCATTTCTGTGCTTTATATAGCAAGCTATTGATTTTTACACATGAGCAGTGCTTCACTGGTAAAAAAGGAAAAGTGAAAAAGAGGTCATTCTTCTGTCTCTGTGCACCAGGATGATGGTTGGAGATTGAACCAGGAAACTGAAAAGAGGCTGGGTAAGAGGGGGAGTACCAACATACAAAAGGGTCTACAAAGACCAAATGAGAGAGTGGAAAAAGTGAAAGAACTAATAGAAAATGCTAAATGAGAGGAAATACTATAGTGTGAAGTGAAAATCCCAGAGGAAATTTAAGCAGTGAATATAAAGAACCGTTTGAACTAAGCAAGCTTATGCCCCCCGTTTGATTTGGACTTCAGGCCTATTCAGCATGGCAATGTGAATAGATTGTGGTAGTTATAATCCAGAACATTTAATGTGTACCAGGTATCTTATTCTTAGTCTGAATTATCTGGAAATGAATGTGTTCTAATTGATGGACTTTCCATTCTTTGTGTATTTGCCTATGTTAAAAGAGGGATGGCTTATTAGTATAGTCCTGCTTGGAGGAAGCAATCATTGTATGAGTTACAGTTTCTTCATATTTTTAAAGGGACATTTAAGCAGATATTTTTAAATATAGCCCACTATCTATAAACATTAATGTATTGATAGAATGTGGTCATGGAAAGATATACTGACCTTACATTTCTGTTTGTCCGTTTCTTGGATCAACCCACTTCATCGGGATCTTCATAGTCGTAATCTAATAATCTAGCTTGGAGACCAGTGCTAATCTTGTGCCCTCTAAATATTTTGGACATCAATGCCCAGGTCATTTGCCATTGGCCAGATTGGTTGGGCAAATGGCAATTAAAGTCCAAAACATCTGGAGGACATCAATTTGTTTATCAGTTCTGTAGCTCTAGTATGGATTTTCACTGGTGGCTGCAGAAAAAGGGGGAAGCGGAAAATCTCGGTTGTATAAATATGACCTTTGTTCCACTGATGGAAATGAGGTTAAGTTCCAGTACAAAGCATTTTCAGGATATACGGTTTCAAATGCCTTTTTAATTTTCTTTTAGGCCACAGAATTTTGGGGAAAGATTCATTACTCTACAGAGAGAAGGCAGATGTTAAGTTTGCCTCTTTTTCATGTTCCAAAGCACCTTTTTTGTGGAATCAATTCAAAAGCACTGCATTGCCCCAATTTGTGTTAGAAATGTGCTATAATTATTGGCTACCATTACATTTTTTTCTGAAACAAATTAGAGTAGATAGTAAAACAATATTTTTTTCTTATTTGTTTCCAACTTTAATTGCATTTTAATACAATTTTTAAATTATTTGAATAATATAATATAAAATACTATTATATGCTATTCCAT